CGCTCGCCCACTGCACTTGTCTCGCTGTGCAAGTCTTTCTTTGCTTTGCTTCGTTGATTATTTTATTTAGTTATAGGGCAAGGGCGTAGCCAAGGGGTGGCATACCGAGTCTGTTTCTCTGCTTGCCAAAAATTGTTTTCACCATGGCATAGACTGCGAAAAATGACCAATCAAGGGCATGCTCTCTCCAAAATCAAGGAGGTGCTCCCCACGAAAGAAATTTTTGGCTATGCGCCTGGTGTGTATAAGTGTTCTTGTGTGTTCTCGGTGACTGTTTCTCAATGACTGATTCTCGCTGTGCCCCACAAGATACTCGAAATCTTTTTAGTTTCCTGTATAGTGAAGGCACATGACCGACTGGCACTGCGTCTTGCCTTTTTTTTTTTATTTGGGACATTACTCGCAGCACCATCTTAGCCATATTGTGGGGGGCATAGTCCTTCATAGAATGAATGCGCAGTTGTGCGGCCAAGAAAATCGGCTAGTAACATATTCCATTCGGCAATGGCTTGTGGCATAAAGAATGCTTAAACAGAACAATTCTGGGGTTGTATGGCCGTACTTTGAATTTCTGGTCATTACGAGAGGATTGATAATGTGCTGGTTTGATGTAATCTGAAGGACTTATGCCTGTTTTCTTGTTGTAGATCGAATAAAATAATTTCAGTCTTAGATTACGTCTTCGAGTTTGCAAGCATTGCCACTTAAGGGCTCCATTCATACATCAGGAGCTTTCAGTTCGGTCATATTTGCCCAGAACGAATCTTGCTGCGATCGAAGTGTTCAACGATTATTATGAATGTTTTGTCTAAAAATAATGACATGGTACTAAACACTAATTAGCACCTTTCTTTTAGTTTGACTTATCTATCGCATTTAGGTTTCGGTATAGGTTTTCATTTCATGAGCCAACTCATCATCATTAAATAATTAAATAAGGTAGACATGCATAACAAAAAAGTCACAGCTTTGCCGCAAAGGCAAAGCAATGAACACGATAGCTATGGACCCGACGCCCTTTTGTACCAACACCGATGCAAAAACTTCATCATGACATGAATTTCTCGCGTGAAGACCGACTAGAATCAATGCACGTGCCTGTATTCTGTCTCAATGGAACGATGAGATATTGTATTCTGCTATCTCTGCGACTTTCCTCAGTCTCCTAAAAATAAGAAGAAAAAAAAACACTGCATATTCAGGGAGTTTACGATGATGAGTGGGGCAAAGCATCCGTCCGGACGAATGGATGAATGAAGGCACAGGCGGACGAAAGCACAGATGAATATACAGACAGACAAACATAGGCACGGAAAGATGGATGCACAGACGGATAGACCGCCCAGTGAATGGAGAGGCACATGGACGGTTAGATACACAAACGAACAGACACTTCACCCCACTCATCATTCACTGTGTGTATATGCTGGGAAGACCACTAACACCACCTAGTTATATTATTTTTAAGAATACATACACAGAACGCCATTTATTGAGCAAAACATAAACTAGATATGGCTGCATACATACATACGAAGGAGACAACAACCCACGCCCTAAGGATCTTCACCCTTAAAAGAAGCTGACTGCACAAACAAAAGCTTCGAATGCTATGACTCCTTATAATTACAGTTTAAGCATACAAAAATGCCTGTACACTCTGGTGCATATCTACACCCAAAACAATACGTGTGCACACAACCGTGTAAGCTAGCGCTTGAATACATGCACAAGCGCAGACAGGCACTCACGTCCATACTACGCGCATACGTATTCAGGCATACACAAATGAACACACAGGCATGCATACACATATGCAGATATACGTGTGAGTGCATCCACAAACACAGGTGTGAATACAGACATACCAAACATACATTACGACATAAATATAGCGTGAAAAAAACATGGACAAAAAAAAGTACACCACAAGCGCTCAGCCGAAGCGCTTGTGGTGTACACTTTCTTGTCCATGTCTTTTTCGCGCTGCATCTATGCTGCAATGGATCAGTACCAACTCGCTCGCCTCTCCGTTTTCTTCCAAACATACGCACTGACATAAACATACACATAGGCTCGTACACGCACACACACCGTCGCAAATACTAGCATACACTATCGCAAGCAAATGCAGGCACACACTTGCACACACAAATGCACACACATGCACACGTACACGTACACATACATAAAGAAGCACGCGCACACCTGCACACACACACACACGTGCGTTCACAACTACAAGTTAGGAATTGCCCATGTGAGCTTACAAAGTGAATATTCTGAAAATTACCGCACGCGTATAAATCCAACAATACTTTATCAAGGCATTGAGAAAATAGCATAGCATAGTGACTCGGAAAAAGCTAAATCTACATTTATATGTGCTCGTGATGAAACTTAACGGAGAGTCTAGTTAGGAAATAAGCATTATAGTCTTCATACAACTTCATCCAGATATTCAGGTATATATGAGGAAATTGCTACCAAATACCTCGCAAAGAACGACGTGCTTGAAAGGGACGAGTTCTTTTTCCTGACGTTCTAAATGCACTGCTTTTGCACGCACGGCATTTCTTTTCGCCTCGACGAATATAAATTAATTTTACTCCTTTCTCTGACTTCTGCTGCACTGAAACGCGCAGCAGCCAGGCATTGCAACGAAGAACGAAGCTCGAAATCCAAGTCTAAAGCACATTTGGAGCGGGAAGCCTGGAGGTTTCAAGGCGGGTGTGGTGAATGAGAAGTTTGCGCCGCTTCCTGTGACTAGCGTTGACTAGCTGGTAGTGCACGTCCCAGCCATTCAGTGTTGCGTATGCACCAGCTCTGTGAAATAGGGGATGACAAAAGAGGAAATTGAAGGCACGGCGAGAGTGAGACGGCGTAGATCAAGGAGTGGGGCTACTTTCCAAAATATAGAGGTTTTATCGAACACAAGACCGTGGCACCATCTCGGCACTGATAACGAAAAAGCGCTAAAGTTTCGAAGCTCTGAGGACTGCTAAATGGTGTATGCTGTGTATAAATAGCTTGCCCTTAGTACTCCAGACAATGTACCCTTTGTGCCGCAGTAGTAAGCGGCGCGCACTGAGAATCGAGGAGTTGCAGCTCTGATTCCACCCAACAGATGTCTGCTTTCTGACATTTTCGTTGCAATTTTTCAGTATATATTTTTCGACATCACTTCCTTGACAGAAGTACATCAGCAGAGTCATGATGGACCCCAGCATAAAGCAATTTCGTGTTAAAATTATAACCGGCACTTAGAGTGATGTCAGGTAAAGCAACGTCATAAACTGTCTTTGCGGGCAGGGTGACAATCTTGGGTGCGTCATGACCACTGACAATGGCTTTCAGTGCCTCAGGGAATTTCGCGATTTCTGAGCGTTTCCAAGCACCATCTCAGACAGTGAGCGACTTCACCGGTGTAGATAGGAACGTACCTGTTTCTGACTGCATCGCTGCTGTGTTAATGGCTGTCAACCAACCTTTTGCCACGCTTCAAAGCTATCATCTGCGTTCTGCTTTAATTAACGCTGTTGTGGCCAAAGGAGCTGAATTCATTAATTTAAAAAGCTTCATTGATATTGAGGGTGAATGAAACTTGACCATGTGCAAAAAGCAAGATAAGTTTGACTATTTTTATGCGAAATAAACTGAAGTAACTTGTAGTTCACACCTTGTTTTACATTATACTGTAAGCAAATTGTTATGTTAGTGCCTGTAACGATTTCTGAGGCCTGCAATGCTCTAAGTTAGGGAATAAGTGCACATATTTTGTATTTTTAATTATCGATATATAGAACTATTTCATGATCCCTTTTGAGTTCAATATACACGGGATCAACTGTATACTCTAGGATACTTAGTCTAGTAGGGTTATACCAAATGACCAGGCGTGATCACGTATGCCCTTCCTTGGCTTTTACCTTTGTACTGTATATGCGAAGCTATATGAAGCGACATGAGACAAGGTCCATATCATACTTTATTGATTGAAATAGCAGAGCTTCTTGGCATTGCTACAAAAAATGGACATCATGTAACATTTCAATGGATACCTGCTCATTGTGGCATATTGGGCAATGAAGAGGCGGACGCTAAAGCTAATAGAGCTTTAAATAGTGTCCCGGAAGTGTGCATCGTATTTTCTCGACAAGATACTAACATCCTACTTCGACGCGTAATGCCCAACTCTATCTTAGAGCACTGGCAGAAACCAGAACACCAGCACAAGCGGCTGCACAAATGGGACCCGGAAATGAAGTTCCGTATGCCTTGCAAGGTAAAGCGAAGCATCCCATGCATTATCCACCGCATTCGCCTCGGTGTGGCTTACACATGACGTTACACCCACTTGATTGGCTGTAATGACACAGTTCCCAATTGTGGTCACTGTCGGTTGCGAGAAACGCTCGAACATATATTTTGCGACTGTTCAGCATATGCAAGCGAACGTCAGCAACTGATATCTTCAATTGGCCGATATATTAGTTGACCATTAACCGATGAGTTTGTGTTAGGTCCTTGGCCTGACGCCAGCAGCACACATGTGGGTATACGAGTCGTGATCGCTTTCTTAGAAGCCACTGGACTGAATGCACGTCTGTAGAGTTACCCAGTCTAATAAGAACATATCATCTCTCTACCTTACCATCGTCATTCATCACTCTTTCACTCCCCAGTCACCCTTCCCCAGGGTAGAATAGCAGGCCAGAGCAAACTATAGCTCAGGCCGACCTCTCTACCTTTCTGTAAACAAATTCTCTCTCTCTCTATATTTATATGCAAAACAATAGTTGCTTTGCTCGCTGCAGTAACCGTGTTTTCCTGAGCCAGCATCTCATTTGGTTAGACAGGGCTCAATGCCAAAAAAGTGACATTATCTTACTTTGTGGAACATTAAGATTGTGTTTCTATCCCATTTGCCCTTAGTTGGAATAACTAAGGCTTTTTTTCTGTCTTTTGAGCAATAGTACTGGCATGGCAATTTTTTGCAGGTGACTGGTGTGGTTGGCCGCGCTGAGTCTCTCTCATCTGTTTTCTTCCTGCTCGCCTTCCTGGCCTATGACCGAGCCATCGGTGACAGCAAGCGCACTGGTATGAGATTCTACACTTTTTTGCTGTTCATTCTGCGCTGTGTGAAGGGAAAAAGTGTGGTTCAAGCCTTTGAAGCAGAAAGCTGGCTGCGGCGGACTAGAATCGCAAAGCATCACGCCCCTACAAGCGTAATGAGTGATAAAGCTCATTACGCTTTGAATATTCAGGCAAATATCATTATACTGTATATAATCGAATTCGCTACTTTTTGAATTTAAAGTATTATTAAAATACTTATTTAAAGCAGTGAAGTAAAGATTTTGCCAGGATTTGAATTTATAGCAATTTAAAGGGTACGAAATTTTGAAGTATTAAAATTGAGCAAACAGGTGTGTAATACGGTGAAAGGGGATATGAGATCACAACAAGGGTCATGTGCACCACAGTTGTCCGCCGGTGTCTATAACCACTATCGTGCGAAATAACAAAAAAAAAACCTCAGTATATAAAAAAACACCAAGGACACAATGCAGTGATTCCACTCCTGTGTCAAAGTGTGCCAAATAAGATTTACTGCCCCATCCTGATAACATCAACAGATATTGTGCCAAAGTCGGATTTGGGAGCATCTATCACCGGTAATAGCAATGCTGGCATGTCAAAACATCTGGTTCTCGGTGCCACCAATGTCACAATCACGTATGTAGAATTAATCTGCTAAATAAACAGCGGTCGTGCCTGCATTCTAACTAATCTACGATTGTTTGCAATAAAAGCACGATACAGACGTGGACAAGATAGACAAAAACAGTCCACAATGCTATGTTTGGACCTGGCGCAACTTTTGTCCAAGTCCGCTTAATGGTGAAATGCGCTCTTCGCAGGGGTTGGTGAGGTCTAATCTGATCAGTAGCATGAAACTGTTGGCGACTCATTGGCAAACATCGTCTCTTTCAGGACTGCTGCTTATAGCTTATTTGAAGAGTTGCGTGGCACGTAATTAAAGCAATTGTCACTAATAACGGCACGCTTGCCGCCATAATATCTGTTGATTACGTCTACTTCTGGCCATCGCAATAAAATTTTCAGGGCTTCACGTCCACAGAGCACATGAATGGTGGGAACGCCTTCACAATTTTAATTTAATATAGTTTATTCATGAATCTTTATTCAGAAGAGCTCTTTTGTAATACCTTCCACCAGTAAATCCGCGTTTGTATTCACAATTACGGTAAAAGCCCCCAAAAGACCCTGCCCTTTGGCGAACTCAACAATAATAAAGTCCGAATTCAAAATTTTCGCATGTTTTTTTTTTTTTCATGTGATCTCATTAATAAAAGCATGCCCTGGTTGGAGCAGCCGCAATTCGGTTTTTACATGCGCAGCTTTCAGTAGTAGGACCATCGTTGGCGCATACTGCTATAGTGAACTAGATAGGGGTAGTGAGACGAGGTTGGTCCTCCCGGTGAGGTTGTTTGCACGAAAACTACTGGGCGGCGCTGCGTTGCATTTCACCTGAAACGTGTCACAGTGGGTGCTTGTTTGCTGCACTTTCAAATGACGAGTGCGCTATCTTTAAAGTTGATGCTCGACTCCTGATTGCCTAAAGCTAAAGCGCATTTTGAAAGACCTAATAAAGTTCATTCATCCTGATTGCCTAAATTGTACACTATATCAACAAAAAGAGAATGAATAGTTTCGTATTGAAAGCTCCAAGACGTAAGATTTTAGGGACAAGCCTGTGAGTGAGAAAGTTTTTGACACTGCACGTGACAACTTGAATAGTTTCGTCTTGAAAGCTTCAAGACGGGAGGCTTTAGGGACAAGCCTGTCAGTGAGAAAGTTTCTGGCACTGCGCGTGGCTACTTGAATAGTTTTGCCTTGAAAGCTCCAAGACGTGAGATTTTAGAGACAAGCGTGTTAGTGAGGAAGTTTCTGGCACTGCGCGTGGCTACTTGAATAGTTTTGTCTTGAAAGCCCAAGACATGAGATTTGAGGGACAAGCCTCTCAGTGAGAAAGTTCTTAGCACCGCGCATGGCTACTTAAAAAGTTTTCTCTTGAAAGCTCCAAGACGTGAGATTTTAGGGACAATCCTGTCAGTGAGAAAGTTTCTAGCACTCCGTGTTGCTAATTGAATAGCTTTGTCTTGAAAGCTCCAATACGTGAGATTTTAAGGACAAGCCTGTCAGTGACAAGGTTTCTGGCACTGCGCGTGGCTACTTAGACCATAAACAATTGAAAAAAAAAAACGAATCAAACCGTTTTAATTAACACAAAGACACTATTCAAGAACTCTATGTGTGAACATAAACCCAGGCTATAGGTTGTTCACTTGTGCTTTTTTTTCTCTGTCCAAGTGCAGATGCATGAAGACACAGACGAAATAATTATTGTGTTTGTTTCATCCTTGTGAGTGTCGCATAGAATACCATTGGAGCAGAAGAAGTTGTCGTCACAAGAGCCACAGTGTTACAAATGCTGATCGTGTGTAGTTTCGACACAATGAAACGTGTCCATGAATGTGCATAAATCAGGGCTGGGCTGATACTCTCATAAAAGTGTTCTGAAAATACAAATATCAATATACACATGCTGGAAGGCCAGAAAAATAGGTTCTGAGAAATATTTTAAAAGACATAATTGGATATTAAGAAGATAATTTTGCAGAAAGATGAGAAAATATCTCCGATTACAATTACAGGAATACACATATACTAGAATATAGACACTAAAAAATTTGTAAGTTACATGGGTGTTGTTGTTCCGTGTGTACATTGATTAAGTCTATCATAACATATGGTCGATAATGTTGCAGATAATGAAAGTTCAAGTCAGTCGTATCGCTCAACTCACTAACAGACACCACTGAAATGAGGTAAATTATGCCCTTATTTCACACATGATCGATCTGTTTTGCTGAGAATGGTTTACACTAGTTACAGTTGAATCTCGATGATACAATTAGGATTGATGTCAATTTTGCAATTATAGAATTTTAAGGTTGCTTCAGACGAACAACCTAATATAAAATAGGCCGTGATTCGGTGTCACCTGAATAGTTTCCTGAGCCACCGCAGATGATACGAACTCGGGATAGACCACTGCATGGGACGGCGCAGTGCGGTGTGTCTGTAGGAGGTAAGCTCGTTCACACTGTGCCTCGAAGGGAGTTAATGCGCCAAACTTACGGGAATTTCCCTCGCTTCGCCACTAAAGTGGCCGGAAAAACCACACCGCGAGGCTTACATAAAGAAATTTGCTTGAGACCAATTTTTCCACCACACGATTGGAAATCGCCTTTTGGCATTGCGGCTTTGGCTGCACAGGAAGCGCTCGCTCTCAAACCACGTGATGTTAACACCGAACCGTAAATTCAACATGGGGGCAAAAGCTTTGGCGGTGGCTCACGTCGATGCAGTTGTGAAGTACCTGCGTAGCACGACAAATCTCACGGCCTTGAAAACAACGTGTTCATCAAGAGCCTGGTTTAAATTTAAATTGCTGCGAACTCCGGAAGTAGAAGAAAGCGCAGCAGCAGCAGTGAGTCAACATGACCTAACGTGTCTCGCTTTCGCACTGCCAGCTGAATCCGTCGCCGCCCCTGCCGGTGCCTCCGCTTGTGTCATTTCTGCTGGCATATCTCCCGAAACAATGTTTGTAAAGTGTGAAATGTTTATTTTGAGTGCTTTGCATGCATTATTAGAACTTGGTACGAATTTTAATGCTCAGGGAACAGGCAAATGGAATGAATCTTCAAGCGGCGAACAAGGCCGGCGGTAGGCAAAACGAATGTGGACATTTTCAACCGGTGAAGACTTAGTTTTGCAGCCGCTCTGGTGTTTTTTCTTTAATTCTCCCGTGTCACTGTTTTTTTTATGTGTGTTGACTTCAAGGTGCATATTTCCGGCCGCCTGAGCGGCAAAGCGAGAGAATTTCCATAGGTTTTGCCACTTTCTCTCACTTCGATGCCAAGTGCGAACGTGCTTGAAGCGCCTGCAGCACAAGTGAGGAAACCGCAGCACTTAATTGAGAGGTGGTGAAGGCAGGAAAGTTCAAAAGAACATTATGGACTTCTTTCAGCGAAATCTCGTTGACTCCAATAAAGTTCTTCTTCACCTTCGTGATCAGCATTAATTTGTTTTTGGTTTATACATTAGTTTGTTTTTGGTTATGATACGAATATTTTGTGCGCTGTCTTCAAATTTCTATCATCCAGATTCTACTGCACAATAAAATAACAGTAGGTTCTTGAATGGACTGTCAGTAGACAGAGCACCGGTTCAGTTTAATTCAAGACTGGCGATATATAAAAGGCTGTCTAATATTGTAGGCAAACAGAGCTTTGTGATATAACTACTAAATACTGAAATTGTTCCTAAAAAAAAAAAAGCTGGCAGTGCTTCATTGGTCTTGAGCAAGATTTAAGATTGTCAGCACTGTCTCCTTGATTCTGTTGTCAGTCGCGTCAAACACTTTACCAAATAGAACATTCTGTGCGTGGGAGGGATCTTTCAGTGATCTCCATGTGTCACCGACTGGCGGGGCACTTTTGCCTAGCTAAGCGCATACAAGTTTTTTTTTCGATATTCGATACAGATCGGCTCAGTTCCGACAAAAGAGTAGACAGTCGCGTCTTCGCAATACAGTCGAACACAGTTATATCGAACCCATACATAATGAATTTTCGGGCATATCGAACTCGCAAGTTATCCCCCATGGGAATTCCTTTGTAAAAGTATAGAAATTTGCACGTTTACATCGAAGGGTATTTTTACCCAATTTCGAATACATCGAACGCTGCGAGAATCGAAAGGTGTGCTTCAGCACCCCCTTCCCCCCACGATCTTCACGGCAGCGCGGCTCCACATGCAAGTTAGAAGGCTCGCTTTGGCACTCACAGTGCCTGGCGACCTCTGAGCAGCACCATGCCTGGGCCAAAACCCGAAATGTTCGAAAATAAAGTAAGGGCGAGAGGGCTTGAACTGCACACTATCCAACTTGTGGAACGGCTTTTTTTTTTTTTTTCATTTCTCTTTCTCTCTCATGCTTTCTCCACGTA